TTTACCTGTTAGTTTTCAGTCCTTCTCAAAGCTGTGAATGAGCTTTTTTTTTTTTTTTTTTTTCCTCTTTCCCGGGCTTATCTTAATGGTTATTTAAGTATTTGACATATGTTTCCTACTTTCCTATGACAGTGCAAAGTTACCGCGTTCTCTGGACAGGCCTTGGAGCACAACTTGCTCGTGATGTACCCTTTTCAGCAATCTGCTGGTCAACACTTGAACCTGTATGATCTTAAAATTGTTCTGTACTGCTGAAAGTTTTTTGTTTTGTTTTGTTGCTCTAATTATTGTTGCTAATGGGTACCTTTTCGTAATAGATGAGGAGGAAACTTAGTACTCTAACGGGAGATGAAGCAAGTGCCATCACTATTCTTGGGTCGAATTTCGCTTCTGGGTTTGTGTCTGGAAGCCTAGCTGCTGGTGCTACATGTCCTTTGGATGTGGCTAGAACACGCAGACAAATAGAGGTGTGATTCAAACCTGCTTCCTTTGGCTGGACATGATACTGGAGTTTATTATTTGGACTATTGACAGATGACCACCCCAAAGTGGTGTATTGAATAAAGATACTGTGCAAAATTACGCAACTCTACACTTAAATCCCAATGTGTGCAAATTAACATCTTTAAATAATTTCTTACAGTCCATTGTCAGATTTTAAAAGGTATCTGACAATGATAAGGTGCTTCATAATACATGACCTCTCAGTTCATTTAAACTGCTTAAGCCATTAATCAGATTGTTAAGTTGATAATTTATGTTCAATGTAACTATGTGAGTTATTATCCACAACTTCATGATGATCTACAAAATTTATAAATAAAATTAAAAAAAAGTCTTGGTACTGTAGCCTTTTAGCTCCTACTATAATTTCCCCCCCCCCCCCCCCGATAGTATCACCTTTATGTTACCACTTACTACCTAGCCTCCATAATTTTTATGGCAACACCTTTGTTATGTTTTCCCTCATTACTTGGCCCTTTGCTATGCACCTAAAATCATTATAGTCATGTCTAAATCATTGCAATAAGTCACATTAGTGGGAAAATCTGACACAAAGTGAATTACTTATGAATGAGGGTAATTGTGGGTTCTCATTCTAATTTTAACATATGATGAATGGAAAACATTGAAGGGTGTTACTCCATAGTTTGAATATATTTTGGCACTTAAGGGTGGTTTCACACTTTCACGTTATCTCTGCACTAATAATTTGTGATTAAGGGTCCAATTAGAGGTTGATTTATTATATATATATATATATATATTTTTTTATTTTAAAAATCTTTAAATCCTCGTAGAATTTGTTTGGATAGTATTATGAACCTTATTATCTCAGTTCTGAACGCTATTATTGTTGAAATTCCAGAAGGATCCTCACAGGGCACTCAGGATGACCACTAGGACGACTCTAATGGAGATCTGGAGGTAGTTCTTTTATCTTTAATTTGATAAACCTTTTTTTGAATCTTGACAGAACATGAAAATTGCTGATAGCCTGATATGTTGGTTAGAAGCTTAGAACTAAATATTCAATGCTAATGTTTCTCAATAAGGAAGTGCAAACGTGTTTGCTGTAGACAGGAGTAACCTGGTGAACTAGATAATGAGACTGTTAGGAGTAGTTGTGGTTACATTTTTGATATGATGTTTTTTCTTCTTTATCAACGTAAAATTGTTCTCTTGATCATCATCAATGTGAAAATTATTGAAATAAATGGGTTTTTTTTGTTTTTGTTTTTTTTTTTTTTTCTGGCCATCTACAAATGAATTGAAAATCCAGCTGTTATGATCATGTAATTTTTAATGAAATTAAAAAACCCCTTACAAATTGATCTAAGATGCCTACTGTAGTAGAGAGATATGTTGGTAAAAAATTTTGACTATTGCATTTAATGGAAATTTTTTCTTTACTTAATGTATTTGTAATTCACAAAGCTATTATTTGGAAGATGTGCAGGAAGAAAATCCGTTTTTACATAAAGTTTTTGCTTTTTTTTACAAAATTTTTTATGGGGATGAAATTTTCATTTCTATGTTGTTTTTGGCCTCCTTTTGCTGAGTAGATTGTAGTGCAACTATAATGGAGAAATGAAATGTTCACTCGCTTTTCCTTGTGTTCCTTTCTGCAGTTTGTTATTCTTAATTGTTACATTTTCTTATTATCAATTATAAACGCATGTGTGCCCCTGTCACTGATGGCTGTGTTCAAATACTGAAACAGGGATGGAGGAATTAAGGGTCTCTTTGCAGGGGCTAGCCCTCGTATTGCTCGTGCAGGTCCATCTGTCGGGATTGTGGTTTCATTCTATGAAGTTGTGAAATACATAGTTAACACTAGGATAGCCCCTGCTTAAAGTTATTGGCAGCTCACAGGACTAGGATTAGACCGCTCATCCAATGAAGAATGCAGTTTTTGGTTACTTGGCTTCAGAGAATACAGTCTTCAAAGTTATATAAATAAAGCAAAGAACTAAAGTTCGGACCTTGATAATTTACCGAGGTTACTCAAGTGCAGGTATAGATTATGACAGGTTACAATTTTAACAGGTCTGTTTCTCAAGGTTGAGCAAAAATTTTGTCAAGTACAGTATATTCCAAAGTAATTAAAATTTTTTGCTGAGAGTTTTCTCAGTTTTCCCTGTACATTTTGTTTTCTCCCCTTTGTTTTTTGCTTAGATGTGTTACCAATTCGGGGTACATCATTCTTTTCGCAAGATGCTAGTAGTTCGGGTTTTGTTTGTGTGTGATTCAAAGGAAAAGCAAGGGTTTTTTATGGGTGATGGATTTTTGTTCGCGCAATCGCATGCGGTACGGTCCCCTTAGATGCAATAATGCAACACCAACATCCTGCGTCATCTAGCATGGTCTTTTCATGTCCTGATGTTGTTCAATGCGATAATGTGGCTACGTTAGGTTAGAAATGGCAATACAATCCGAATTCGATTCGAATCTGATCCAATTCGAAGAAAAAAAATCCGATCTGAATCTGTTTAAAATCACTTCGAACTCGATAAATTAGATCCGAATCCGAATAGGAGGTGGATTGGGCTTGGACTCTACGCAAAGTTCGATCGAGTCCGATTCGACTTCGAGTTCGACAGTATGGCTTTATAACTTGGGACAATTGTTTGCTTGTTTTATAGCAAAATTTTGTTATGTAACTTAGTTCATAATTTAAATATGTTATGTTTATACTTTACTCGGTATGACAATACAAGCAATTATAGGTATATCACACATTACAAAAAAAAAATATTCGGAGGTCCGAATAAACGGACCGGATCCAGATTCGAAAATTACGAATCGAATCGGACTTGGATTCGGATTCGGACTCGGATTCGGATTCGAGTCCAGGGTCCGTTTACAAAACGGATCGGATTCAGATTTAGCCGCATCCGATCCGAATCCAATCCGTTGCCATTCCTACGTTGGGTTCATGGGATATAACGTTGGTCCATCAATGGAAATGATTTTGGCACACCGAAATTGATTAAGACACACCTCTATGCGAGAGCACAGTTTTTTTATGCTCATCTCACATAGGGGTGTGCGGTGCCAAAATCAATTAAGGGTGTGCTACATCAATTTCCTCCGTCAATTATACGTAGTACTTCGTATTTTCTTTTTTAATTGTTTTTTTTGGACATCAGGTTAAAATAGTCAAAGTTACTCAAGTACAGATCTACAGACTTAACAAGACAATTAGTGTAGATTTTGCTTACCTTAGATGAAAATTATAAATGTTAGACTTCTAATTTCTTAAATTGTAAAATAAGAACTTAAGAAGTATATAAAGACATAGACTTTTGACATTATTCACAAACTCTATTTTGCTTAATTATTGTGATTTATTAATAAATAATTATGTGAAATATAATTATGTGAAATATTACGATTAACTTATATATTGACAAACGTAATATTCACTAAAAAAATAAAATAAAATGGTGTCAACTGATTTAGAATGAAAATTATGGAAGAACATGCATGTTGAAGACTTTAAGTTATGATTCGCCAGCAATGAGGTATTGCTTCTCTTCCCTCACTAATTTACCTTTGGTGCTTAGTCATGGAAGTCTTATTTTCATATTGCCATATCGGTGTTTAATAGGCTTAGTTCACGCCTTCCCTTAAAATTGACAATATTTTTAAATATAGATTCATATGAGTCACCATTCAAAGACGGCATGAATTGACCTAAATCGAAGGACTAATTTACTACCTATAGTCGTATTAATAGAAGTGGTAGTAGGCATTATTATTCATTAAATGTACAAAGTATTTTTTGAGAAACATGGACCAAGAGAATTGATTTATTTTTATTTTTTTTAAATTGATAATTCTAGTTACTTGCAAGATTAGCATGCAATATTAATTTTCTTGTTTCCTTGAGAGAACACCAAAAGTTTAACATGTATTGTTAGTTATTAAATATTCTATGGATTAACAAAAGTTGCTTTTAAATATTAGTGAAGTTATTAATCAAGGTCATTTTAGCCTTTTCTTCTTCTCCAAGGACATTTGCTAACACGACATTCACTCAAGAAGTAACTCAATTGTGAATGTCAACTAGTTTAAAGGTGTACTCTATAATTCAAGTGCTGAGAACTTAGAATGGATTTTATAACTTAACATTAGAGAAGAAAAATTAAAGTAAAAATTCAAAATCATACGGATTCCTAGTTATTACAGAACCCCCGTTCGTTCGAATAAGACCAATTAATGGTAGGTAGGTGCACACAAATCACCCTCAGTAGTCAGTTCCCTTCTTGTCAATAAGTACACAAGGTACTTTATGTCTGTCTCCATCTTTTGATACTGTTGTAATGGGATTATCCCACATGAACAACAAACAAATACACCAAAAGGCCTTCGTTTTTTAAAACATGATGATAACCGTCTCAACTAGTTTAGCTGATAAAATCTTAAATTGATCGTGATCTACAAATGCAACCAAAATGTATTAATGAGGGGGGGGGGGGGGGTGAAACCGAAGAAACGAGTTAGAGGCCATAGCTGCATTAGATGAGATAAATATATGTGCAAATGAACTCACAATCACCCCATCTAATACAAATTAGATGTTACACCACCATGTCTACAAGGGCTCAAATACACCTCCTAGTCAATCACAATCAATCATACTATCTATAAGCATCCTTTAAACAAATTGGGAATAGTTACACTAATCCCACTCTCACGTTTTTATCATTTGAAAGAGAAATACACCAAAAATCACAAGCACTTTCGTCATTTTTAGTGCTCAAGGTGATGTTACAGATGATGATGCCCCCATTGTTGCACTTTTTTGTTCAATGGATGAGGTATGTAAGCGCCAAGGCAACCAGCATCAACGCGTATGCTATCCCTTGATCAATACTTGTCCCTGAAAGGTACCAATTGATGAACACAAGTCAATTGTGTGCATAACATACAAGTAATCGGCTACTATTATTAATTGAAGTGGTTGAGTTGAGGCCTTGAGGGTGATGATTTTAACAAGTCTGTCAACTTCAACTATGATATACCAAGATTTTATTTGTACCAAAAGAAATTGTAAGCACATTGTAAAATCTTGGGTCTCATTTTCATTTTGATACTATAGTTTATTAGCAAAAGAAGTGGAGGAAGGTAAATCTTATCTAAATCTAAATCTAAATCAACCACCTTTAACAAACATTCCATCTGCTACTATTCTAATTTCCATCATAATTCAATCATATAAAATGTCTCCTTAGCTCAGGATTGAATCTCATCTACATCATTGTTCTCTTTACACCAAAAAAAAACCTCTATGATACACAAAATCACAAATAATACCATTGCTTAGAATTAAACCTTTTTTTCCCAATAAATTTCTCAAAAGTATTAAAAATTCAATTTAATAATCACCAAACCCCTCGGCTACTAAGATGCAATATTTAATGGAGTAGTAGTTGTTCAAAATTATGGGAACAAACCTAAAACTTCAATAAAATACTTCCCCTCTTCCAGTAATATTACAACAACTAGACTTTTGCAATATTCATCACGCTTGTTTGAACACATATTATGATTTATACGTAAAGTAAAATATAGTCATACTGGGTCTTGTTATATTCGTATTGTAAAATACTTTCACAATATCAACCTTTTATAATTTTTACACTTATATAATTATAGATATTTAACTTATAAAATGTGCTTTAGATGCATAATTTCATCCTCATTGCAATATTTGTGGAACGGAGGAAGTACCTTTTTATAATGGCTAAACAATCAATATGTATTGAATTTAAAGGGGGCAAAAAAAATCAAAACTTTCGTTCTAAAATATAAATTCTGGGTAACCAGATTTGTTTCCCCCAGTTTTGTCTGCAATGACATAGATCTACAAAACGCGCAATCCTAATAAAATGCAGAACATTAATACGTTCTTGTTTTTTACGAATGAATGTTAGGTGTTTGATGAAATGTCCCAAAGAAAACCCCAGTTTCAATAACAACAAAAAATTCTTGGATCTGACAACAACCCATTTTTACATTTTCACCATAGTTATTGGAAATGCAGAAAACCAACATACCCATCTCATAAAATTCAATCAAAGTTCAATAATTTCAACGAAATATTCACATTATTTAAATAAAAAATTTTAAAAAAAAGTAAATGAAAAATTACCGTCACTGGTAGGAGCAGGTGCGGGACCCGCAGCTTGAGCCTGAGCCATTGCAAAGATGAGAGAGAAAACAACCAATACAATGAACGAAGCCTTTAAAACCTCCATTGTTGTTCAACTCTTTTTTTTTTTCTAACTTTAAAAAAAAATTAATCTTTGGTTAATTATCTCTGGTGCAAGAAAAAAAAAATGCAGGGATCTCTACAGCCCCCCTCTCTCCTTAAAAATAAAGGGTAGAGAGTGGATTAGAGAGAGAGGTTGTAGAGAGAGAAAAAATGGAGGAAAGAGAGAAAGAGAGAGAGCACACAAAGTGTTTGATGAAATGCGTCAATGAAGAGGCAGAGCAGCATGTGCTGGGGGTAGAAGGAGGGGTCTTATAATTGTTTCTTGTGTCGGCTTTTTTACGGGGAGCCCACTAATTTCAGATTATTTTTTCGTTTTCCAGATTTTATTTTACATTTTATTTTTTGCTGTTTTTTTAATTTTTTAAAAAATATATTAATTTTTATTTTTTGGGAGGTTGAGAGAGGCATAAGGAGAGAAATTGGTGGAGGTCCATTCCTCTTTCATAGGGTTACAAACTTACAATGGAGTACTATAAATTTCATTCTATTAGTAGCAGGTTTTTTTTCTAAGGGAATTGGAGATTTTCTTTTTTCGGTGTTTCAATTAATTGATAATTTATGACCTATTAGACTAATTTAGATGTGACTTGAATTGAAGCTCTAACGGAGGAGAAATTTTTCTAACAATTTTTACTTGTTGCAATTTTGAGAATTTAGATTGATTGAACGCATAATGTTTCTCATAAATTTGTAAATTTCGTATCAATATAAAGTTTTATACTCTGTATCTTTAATTTTGACGTGTCTAATATCAATACTTTCATACATTTTTTGAAAAAAACTATTTCTTTTGATTCCAACACTTTTGAGATTTTTTTTTTTGTAAAAATTATTATTGATCGATTATTTTCATTTATATTCAGAGGATTGAATTAATTTATCAATCATATTGTTTTTGCTAGATACTTTTTTAAAATTGATTTTGAACTTGTATCATAATCTAAGCAACAATTTTGTTAAATTCAAAAATAAAGATGTTGTCACTTGTCATCATTGAGAAAATTATCTAGGTGCTTAAAAGAAGAATTTCAAATAGTTTTGGCTTCCCGTTGCCAGTGAAGCAATCAACAGTTACTTATTCACTTAATTCTAAATTTCTTTTTTAAAAGAACTAAATTCTAAATTTCTAATACAACTCATAAACACATTATTGGACTTTGTGGGATATACCCCTTACAAAAAAATCATTATCTTAGAGGGATACTACCTAATTCCAAAATGTCTATATTATTGCTTTTATATGATAAGTTTGTTGAATTTATATCTATATCTATAATTTAAACATGATTTTTAAAGTATTGCCAAATGATAATATTTTAGAAAAATAAAACTCTCTTATTTCATTGGTTCTATTCCTATTATAAATCCCAAGATGAACCATGAAATGTAAAGTAGTACTTCTAATTAGAAGTGACACGAGTATAGCTATTTTTTTTTTTTTTTTTTGATATGCTTATAAGATATGTTTAGTTTATGCAAACTCATCTACTAGATCTTATTTACTAATCTCAAATCAAGCTTAAATAGCTCATGAATCAATTTAAAATCATTATCATCGTTATTTGTTTCTTATATTATGACTTTAACTCTAGCTACCAAAATACGAGCTTATCATCCTAAAACCGTCTTATCAACATAAAATCTCGAAATTAGTCACGATTATTTAGAGGCGTTTAATTTAGTATCGAGAGGGTTAGACGGGGTGTCCATAAAAGAATATGAGGTTATTTGTAAAAATATATATATATATATATGGGGTGTCCAAAAAAGAAAAAGGCAAAGAATTGCCAGAGCAATTTGCAAAGGACATGTGATAAGGACTTTGGGCCATGTGACCGTTTGTTACCAAATATTTTGTTCCAATTTTTTAAAATTTGATAACGGCCAAAGCGGTCTTCATTCTCTCTCATTGTCATGGAGTTAATAATAATATTAATCCTTTTTTGCCTTGTTGTTTCCAGGATGGATCCTCTCTTTAACAGAAAATTGGACCATTTTACAACTCAATTTACTCAATCAAATTAAAAGATTATTTGTTTTTAATTCTATACTTTTGAAAAACAGTTCCATATACAATAATTTGGAGTTTGAAAATGTAATTATGATCAAAAGTTAGATAGTTTTGCGTATTCAATTTGATTCAACCTATTTCGATAGGAAATGAAAAAAATGTAAATATTATAATCATCGAATAAAGAGAAGAGTTCTACCTTCCAACCATGGATTTGAGCTCTCATGACTATCTTAATTATATTTGATTATCATATAGATTTTTTTTTTTTATATATTTTTTTTAAGTGTTTAGAGAGTCACAAGGGCGGGGGTGAGAATCAATCCAAGGATCTCATGGAATCGAGAGAAAAGCTCTAACCACTTGAACTATCCTTCACTCTCATTATCATATAGATTTAGATATGTGGTTGCTTACTTTTGTTTAAGAGGTTCAAAAATTAAATACGAGTTCTATTGGATTATCTAAAGATAATCTACTTACAATAAAAATCCACTCCAACAAAATTTCAGATTTCAAATTCAAATTCTAAATTAAAAGTCAATATCCTAACAGCTTCAAGCCTTCAACCTAAAAACATTAAATAGGTTTACGTTATTACAATCATTTTCTCCTAAATTACTTTTTGTTCAAAGTTTTGTTAGCATGACAATAACCCTAAAGCACATAATGCGTATTAATAGAAAAGAGCAAATATTCGATTTACTTTTGTTTGAGTCCAATTCATCCTTATTGGGCTAATCCACAAATGATTCAATTATTAGCGCAAAGAAGGTTCAACCCTCTTTCAAGCATGCCAAGTCAGTCAGGCCCAGTCAACTTGTCAAGCCCACTTGACTTCAAGGTCCAGTTTATCTATTTGAGCAAGGTATAAAAGCCTTTACTTCTTTCTCTCTCAATTCATTCACTTCAAGCCTCAAGCAATTAATTCTCTTGCATAGTTTTCTCTCTCTAGAAACACTGTACCGAATTTAGCATCGAAGGGGCCATGCTCGACACAACCCCCGAGGCCAGTTTATGTGTGTTTGCTGTGCAGGAAACCCTCGTCCCAGTCATCACTTGGGCCGAGTCCAGTCTTAAGCCCACAAGAAAGGTCGAGACGAAGGACCCATTGTTTTCACCCGAAACAATTTGGCGCCGTCTGTGGGGAAGGCATTCAAAAAATCAATTATCATAGCAATATGACTAAGAGCGAAAGAGTGCCAAGAGCGCCAAAAATAACGACCCTTCTTCCTCGAAGAAAGGCCCAACATCCTCGAAAATAAGTCCATCTCCCCCCTCGAAGAAGTGTATGCCTTCTTCCTCATTTTCGGAGGCTACCTCATCTGAGAAAGCCACGCCGGAGATATCACCTCACAACTCTAGTCAGTCGTCCAACTCTTGGCGGCCGAGCCAGTCAAATGCTACGAGTCCAACTCCTAGTCGTCATTCCCAATCTCGTCCAATGGGGATGCCCTAAACGGGTCCCACTACGGAGGAGATGGCAAGAGCCCTTGTAGTCCTCATGGACTTCATGAAGGCTAAGGCAACCTAGTAGCTCCCACCTCTTGCTCCTTCGATGCACGCTAACACTTTTGAGTAGCCGAGAATCCTAAGAAGGAGAATTGGTCAAGGAGAGGGAGAACGAGTTCCATCCCATAGGGAACTCGAAGAAAATTGGGAGGAGGACACCTAGAGAACTGAACATGAAGGGAAAAGAAACCCCTAGTTCTTCCAGGAGTCCGAACCCCGAAGCTTCAAAAGCAACAACACCGCTTCCACGCGCGCGGCTAAAGCCTGCTCGCCAAAACGTCCACGAGCGTATCCGCCCAAGGGAGGGGAACGTGCACAGTCGCCTTACCTACCCCAAAGGAACCGCGCCCTACCCTGCACCGTCCCAGCCGAGGACGAACACCACTTCTACCTCTCTAAAGAGGGGGAAGCGAGGTCCCATCGGCTGGGAACAAGGGGAAAGTCGTGATGGTTCCCTCCAGTTCCCCATTCCAGAGCTGGATTCTGGAAGAACGAGTGCCGACGATGAAAATCCCGGCACACATCACGTATGACGGTACTCCGGATCCGAAGGACCATATTGCCTCCTACGAGGGGCACATGTACCTGAACCCCAGGTCCGAATCGACCTGGTGCAAATACTTCCCAATCACTCTAAAAGGTGTTGCACAATCGTGGATAACCAAAGGAGTGAAGGAAGGCTCGATAACCGATTGGAAAGACCTTTTCAACAAGTTCAAGTGCAAGTTCTCTACGGCAAATCGTCGAGAGAAAACAACTACAAAGTTCATGAGCCTGCAGCAAGGGGAGTGTAACACCCTAGAAATTCCTTTCCTTTAAAATACCTGTTTTACTCTTTTTAAAATACGAAATAGGAAATTCTAAGACATTACCGCCACTGTGAAAACGGCTAAGGCAATTATCAAAGACTCAAAGTGGAAGACTCACTTTAAAAATCATTCAAAACAAGTTAACTTAAAAAGTCAAACCAAACGAAAGTAAAGCCAAACAAAAGTTAAATAAGGCCAACCTATAACTTGGAACCATTGTAGGCCCTTATCAAAACCCAAAACGAATTTTAAAAACCTTTGTGTTAGTCTCACAAGAAAAATATATGATAATCAAAACAATAAACCACATCATATTCTTATAAAAACTAAGCATGATTCGCTCTTCACTCATGCCCATCATGAATATGCTTCATCACCTAAAAAACTTCTCTTTAGTTTGTCCCTATTACTCGCCATTAGGAATGGGTTGTCGTAGGACCAAGATAAAGACAAGGCCAAACAAACATACAAACACACAGTCAGCAATGCTGAGTACATAAACGTAAACAGTACACACTAACATGCTTTCATCCTATCAACACACAACTTACCTTATTACACCTGTTACAAGCATACAACATTCCAAACGACCAACCAATAAATAAATGAATTGCTTATTTAATTTGATTAAGCATCGAACGGGTTACCCACCAAATCCCTGCCCCAAATAAATTGAGGTAAACTACACCGGGAGTTAACTGAGTAGGAAAATGCCACATGAAAGTGACTGGACGTCCTGCGCATAAAATAAATAAAGGAAAATACAGCGTCCTGTACTCCCAGTAGAAGTTATGATCAAATATAAAGTCACATAAATCCCCTCATATGTTCATACTCAAGGATACACGTTCCAAGAGTTTTGGTGCGTAATCTCTTTCACTTTACGTGATTTACATAATTTTAGACTTGGTGATGACTCTCAAACCATAATACAATCAATCATAATAATCATTCAAGCAATCAAACACACCAATTTAATTCTTGAATAAATAGTGACTTGTGGAACACTTTTAACTACCTCGGCGTTAAATAACACCTTAAGCGCATAAAGCACCGCATATCCTATCTCTCGTTGTTTAGAACACATTAAGTGCACTTAGGCACAACAATACATTTTATTCCTGTGTACTAAGACACTTAATAGCTCAATTCCCATGCTTAAAGCATCAATAAAAATTATACGAACCATAATAAAATTTTCTTTATATATTCCAAACCAAATCAAACCTTTAGTTTAATTAAACATGCTCTCAATCATGCCAATAATAAAAGTGTGGTTCATATTTAACATGCCATCATAATTAATTCCAATCATCAATTCACCACAAATAATTCATACTTCACAAATCAATCACCAACATCAATCCAAT